GAAAATTCTAGCGGAACCTCTGCAAGAAGGGATAAATGTTATCCCCTACTTGGACGACCTACTCTAGTTTGCGGACACGGAAAGAGCTCTGAAATGCCATGTGGAGCATACAATATCCTTCTTAGAAAACCTAGGATGGCTAATAAATACAGAGAAATCACAGTTGGTCCCTTCCAACAGAATCACATACTTGGGATACATTCTGGATTTCACAAGCACCTGCTTTATACCTGACCGCAGAAAAAGCGCTCAGACTACAACAAGACAGGTGAAGCCTCCGGGGGACGGTAATTTGCACAATCAAACGGCATGAAGCTCGTCGGCCACATGACAGCAGCCATACCGGAGTATAATGGGTGCAGCTACACTCCAGAACAATACAAAATCACGTCCTCTCCCACTTGGACGGCAGCCAAGCATCTCTGGATTCCAGCATTTGCCTCACTCGCAAAGTGAGAGAGTGGTAGGGAAACATCCACATGCTGGAAGCCGGGAGAAGATGGAAACAATCCAACCTAACAGAAATCACCACAGACGCAAGCATGCAGGGGTGGGGCGCACACATGGAGGGTTGCCTGACCCAGGGCAAGTGGGACCCAGAAACCGCAAAAAGGTCATCAAACTTAAGGGAATTACTGGCATTTTTCAGAGCGCTTACAGCCTTTCAGGAGAAAATAGAAGGGAAAGAGATTCCGATCCTGTTGGACAATATGACGGCTGTCACATACTTGAACAGGCAAGGAGGCACAAGGTCCCCATGACTAATGGAATTGGCGGAAACCCTCCTGAGCTGGGCAGAAAGAAACCTAAAATCAATCACGGCGGTCCATCTGAAGGGAGACCTAAACCTGTTAGCGGACCAGCTGAGCCGAGAGGAAATCAACCAGTCAGAATGGTGCCGCAGTCACACTGTGTTCGCCCAAATCTGCAGCAGATGGGGCAGTCCCTCCATAGATTTCTTTGCCAGCAGAAGGAATACAAAACTAGGAAAGTACTTCTGCTTTCAAAGAGACCCCCCCCCCCCCCCCCAGAGTGCGGGGACAGATGCACTGTCCCAGCCATGGGAGGGGGGACCTCCTTTACGATTTTCCCACTATTCAAACTACTACCAAGAGTGGTACAGAAAATACAGACGTCTCAGGCCAGAGTCGTCCTTATCGCTCCGTTCTGGCCCAAAGGTAATGGTTCTCCTTCCTAAAGAAGCTGAGCCTAACTGACCCATCGACGATACCACCCATGAATGACCTACTAGTACAGGGGGCAGTGGTACACCCACACCCGGAAAAACTGTCCCTGACAGCATGGCTTCTGAGCGGAGTAGGCTAGCTAATAAAGGCTAATAAACGAGAGTGGTCGCCACCATCTTGGACGGGTGGAAAAAGTACAAATGCCATTTACGACAAAAATCTGGAGGAAGTTTTTTTACTGGAGAAATGGGAACAAGTCGTCAGGAGCTCCTGTCCTAAATACAGTACTCTAATTCCTTCAAGCCGGGGCAGACAAGAACTTAGCCGCCAATTCACTCCAAAGTGCAAGTAGCTGCCCTATCTAACTTCCTGGAGTTGGCTATCTCCAGACGCAGAGTCCCGTGCACGCCAAAATACCTCTCTGGGATTTAGGCACAGTTTTAAAACTTTCCAACAGGAGCCATTTGAACCCTTGGGAAAATGCTCTCTCAGGCCCTGGACCCTCAAAGCCACTCTCTTGATAGCCCCAGTCTCTACTCGCAGAGTCAGCGAACTGCAAGCTCTGTCAGTGATAGAGCCTTACTGTACAATCCTGTTGGATAGGATTATCCTCCATATGGACCTGGCATTCCTACCAAAGGTCGCGTTGCATTTCCATAGAACACAAGAAATTGGAATACCATCCTTTTGTGGGAGCCTGAGCAACGCCAAAGAAAGAGACTACAACAAAATTGATGTAAGAAGATGCCCAATCACATGCATCGAGCGCACTAAAGCATGGAGACGCTCGTCCTGCCTCTTCGTCTTACAGTTGCAAGAAAAAGTATGTGAACCCCTTGGGATTACGTGGAGTTTTGCATGAATTGGGCATAAAATGTGCTCTGAACGTCATCTAAGTCACAACAATAGAAGAACACAGTCTGCTGAACATAATACTACACAAACATTAGATGTTGCCATGGTTTAATTGCACATAACATGTAAACATTCACAGTGCAGCGAGGAAAAAGTATGTGAACCTTTGGACTTAATAACTAGTTGACCCTCCTTTTGGCAGCAATAACCTCAACCAAACGTTTCCTGTAGTTGCAGATCAGACCTGCACAACGATCTGGAGTCATTTTGGACCACTCCTCTTCACAAAACTGTTTCAGTGTTGCAATATTCTTGGGATGTCTGGTGTGAATCGCTCTCTTAAGGTCATGCCACAGCATTTCAATCAGGTTGAGGTCAGGACTCTGACTAGGCCACTCCAGAAGGCGTATTCTGTGCTGTTGCAGCCATTGTTTTGTTGAATTACTTGTATGCTTTGGGTCATTGTCCTGTTGCATCACCCATCCTCTGCGGAGCTTCAGTTGGCGGACAGATGGTCGTACGTTTTCCTGCAAAATGTCTTGATAAACTCTGGAATTAATTTTCCCATCAATGACAACAATCCGTCCAGGCCCTGAGGCAGCAAAGCAGCCCCAAACCATGATGCTCCCTCCGCCATGTTTCACAGTGGGGATGAGGTTTTGATGTTGGTGTGCTGTGCCTTTTTTTCTCCACACATAGTGTTGTGTGTTCTTCCCAAACAACTCAATCTTGGTTTCATCTGTCCACAGTATATTTTGCCAGTAGTGCTGTGGAACATCCAGGTGCTCTTTTGCAAACTTCAAACGTGCTGCAATATTCTTTTTGGACAGCAATGGCTTCCTCCGTGGTGTCCTCCCATGTACTCCATTCTTGTTTAATGTTTTCCTTATTGTAGATGTGTCAACAAAAATGTTAGCATGTGCCAGAGATTTCTGTAGGTCTTTAGTTGATACTCTGGGATTCTTCTTTACCTCATGCAGCATTCTGCGCTGTGCTCTTGCAGTCATTTTTACAGGACGACCACGCCTAGGGAGAGTAGCAACAGTGCTAAACTTTCTCCATTTGTAGACAGTCTGTCTTACCGTGGACACATGAACATCAAGGCTTTTGGAGATACTTTTGTAACCCTTTCCAGCTTCATGCAAGTCAACAATTCTTGATCGTAGGTCTTCTGAGAGCTCTTTTCTGCGAGGCATGGTTCACATCAGACAGTGCTTCTTGAAACCAGTAAACCCAAAACAGGTGTGTGTTTTTCAAGGGCAGGACAGCTGTCAGCAACACATCCAATATCATCACACTGATTGGAGTCAAGGTTGGCTCACTCCTGGCTCCAATTAGCTCTGGGAGAAGTCATTAAGCTAGGGCCTCACATACTTTTTCCTCCCTGCACTGTGAATGTTTACATGTTATGTGCAATTAAACCATGGCAACATCTAATGTTTGTGTAGTATTATGTTCAGCAGACTGTGTTCTTCTATTGTTGTGACTTAGATGACATTCAGAGCACATTTTATGCCCAATTCATGCAAAACTCCACGTAATCCCAAGGGGTTTCACATACTTTTTCTTGCAACTGTATTTCAAGGACCAAGGAAGGGATACAATGCCTCTAAAGGCACCATCGCAAGATGGATAAATGAAGCCATCTCAGAAGGATACAAAACCGCATCACTGGCACCACCACCTGGCTTAAAAGCGCACTCAACTAGGGCAGCTGCAGCTACATGGGCAGAGAGAGCTGGTGCCTCCCCCGGACAGATCTGCAGGGCCGTAACATGGTCCAGCTTCAGCACGTTCGCCAAGCACTACCGGTTGGACCTGATCGCCAACAAGGACCAGGAGTTTGGCAGGAAGGTCTTGAAAGCAGCAGTCCCGCCCTAATGTACGTATTCCTATTCAATCCTCGTGAAGCTGTCCTGGAAGATGACTTGGGAAAACGCAGTTATTTTACCTGTTAACTGCATTTCCAGGAATCTTCCAGGACAGCGTAGCTCCCTCCCGATTATTGTTTAGTTATACGCTGCCGTTTCATCATTCAATGGACTGGACATACATTGTTCCTACTGTTCTCTCTGTGCTTTATCCTAGGACTTTGGTTATATTCCTGTATTGAGGGTCCCCTGTGGAGAGAGGCTACTTATAGGGGAAAAAGTGGATCAAGTGTTTCCTGATGGGAGGAGCCTATTTCTCACGTGAAGCTGACCTGGAAGATTCTTGGAAATAGTAACCAGGTAAATAACCGCATTTTCCTTACTTGCAGGCCATTTGCTCAAGGAGTGAAGCCTGCCCCAAACATTCCTGATTGTTTTTAAAGCACCACTTTGTCTATTTAGGATAGACTAGGCGTAAGAATGAGTGCAGTCTAGAAGTACAAGAGTGTGCGCTGTCCTTCTGCTGAAGCCTGCGCATGTGCATTGTGCTCTCCTGTCTCATTCTTCTGGCTCATTTGTGACTTTGGGTCTGCCAGACCTGTTCTTTTCCGCTTCTTTCCATTTCCATGTGCCTTTTTTAAGGTGTAGGAAACTGTTTCATAACTCATCAATATTTTATAGCCTCATCAGTTTTTCGTAATGTAACTTTTTTTTTTTTTTCTTTAATCTGGCAGTCTACCACTTCCATTTGTACCTTTCAGGTTATTTACTGGATATGAACTGCCTAAATAATTAAAAAAAATGGACAAGAGCTGTTGACTGTGAGTGCATATTCCAGTGTGCCCCAAAAAAAAAAAAAAAAAATTATATATATATATATTATATTATTATTATAATATTTTTTTTTTTGTGTGTATACCTTGTTACCTGAAATAACTAACCTGCCCCACATAGGCAGGCATACCATTTTCAGTGGTGTGAGGCCTAACCTTGAGAGTTGCACTGATTTGGATAATCAGTTGAGGAAGGAGTAGGTTCTATTACCTGCTGCTATACTACTGGCTTTTTGCTTTTCTTTCTGCTTCAGAATTTTGACCAGAACAAACTTGAGGAAGAGATGAGAAAACGAAAAGAAAGAGTTGAGAAATGGCGAGAAGAACAGCGTAAGAGAGTTGAAGAGACCATTGGAGAGTTGAAAAGAGAAGTTGAAGAGTTGAAGCAAGGAAAGAAGTGGAGTTTAGAGGATGATGATGGTGAGTTCTGCAACCAACTTTGTACTGCAATGTTGTTAACTTCTTCCTGACCGCCCTATAGCAGAACTATTGCTACAGGGAGGCAGAGCTGTGCAAAATCATGTATGCATGCATGATTTTGCATTTCCGGGTACGGGGCGTGCGCCGTACCCTACTCGCGTGGCCATTGGCGGCTACAGCTGTCAATCGCCAGGTGCCGGCAGGGAACGCTGAGGAACACTGACAGGGGAGAGGTCTGTATGTAAACAACACAGATCTCTCCCCTGTCAGCACCAGCATGCTGCTTTGTATTGCTCTGCATAGCAGAGCAATACAAAGCAGCATGCTTATATAGTAAAATATGCACAGCACACATAGTAAAACAGCACACAGTTAACCTTTTGAATGCCCCAGATGTTAACCCCTTCCTGCCCAGTGTCATTAGTACAGTGTCAGTGCTTTTTCTTGGCATTGATCACTGCATTAGTGTCACTGGGGATGTCAGTGGCAGTTCTCAACCAGTGTCAGAATGCCTGCCGCATACCTGCTATAAGTCACTGATCACCGCCATTACTAGTATAAAAAAAAATTTAAAATAAATATTCCGGTGTATATATACCGCCATTTGTAGACGCTATAACTTTCACGTAAACCAATTAATTACACGTATTGGGATTTTTTTTTTTTTTTTTTTTTTTAGCAAAGACGTAGCAGAATACATTTTGGCCTTAATTTTTGACTACATTTTATATTTTTGTTATTTTTTTACAGGATATGTTTTATAGCAAAAAGTAAAAAATATAATTTTTTTCAAAATTGTTAATCTTTTTGTGTTTATAGCACAAAAAATAAAAATTGTAGAGGTGATCAAATACCATTGAAAGAAAGCTCCATTTGTGGGGAAAAAACACAAATTTCATTTGGGAGTAGCTTTGCATGACCGCACAATTTTCAGTTAAAGTAACACAGCGTCTTATCGCAAAAAATGGCCTGGTCAGGAAGGGTGGTAAATGATCTGAAGGGGAGGTGGTTAAGCTGCAAGCGTTTGGACTCCTTCACATCACTGTGCTGAAAACTGCATGCTAAAAAACCTTGTGGTTTTCAGTGTGTAGTTTGAAAGCACCCAAGGTGTCCTGAAGAGAGTGTGCTTGAACTCCTGCATGTAAAAGTTTAGATATGGATTGAACCGTTTGAATAAAATTTTATTTTCGATGCGGCTGTGTGGTACATCATTGTGCTAAACAGTCCAGGTGGGACTTAGAGCTTTTTTGTTTCATTGTTGCAGATGATGAAGATGAGCCAGCTGAAGGAGAGAAAGAAGGGCAAGAGGAGGAAAACGAGGAAGTGGATCCTTTAGATGCCTACATGGAAGAAGTCAAAGAAGAAGTCAAAAAGTTTAATATGGGCAGTGTCAAAGGTGGAAGTGAAAAGGTTAGAAATGTAGCATGCTTTTGTGTCCTACGGACACAGCTGTTCATGGGATGAGGTAAAAGGCCAATCACAACGACCTTTTACCATGTGATCAGCTGTGTCCAATGACATAGCAGATCACCGAGTAAATACAGTTGCCGATTATCGGTTGCACTTTCTTAATGCTGTCATAGTGTGAGGAAAGTACTGCCGATAACCGGCAACTGTCACAGAGCAGATCGACATTGATGATCAGTGCCCAGCAGTTCTTGCCGGTTAGCGCCTCCCATCAGTGCAGCATCATCAGTCCCACCTCATCAGTGCAGTCTCAGTGCTGCGTATTAGTGCAGTTTCATCAACGCACATCAGTGAAGGAGAAAAATTACCTGTTTGCTAAGTTTTTATAATGGAAACAAACTTTTTTTTTTTTTTTTTTTAAATTGTTTATAGTGCAAAAAAATAAAACACCTAGTGACGATTAACCACTTGCCCTCCTGAGGATTTACCCCCCTTTCCTGACCAGGCCTCTTTCTGCTATACAGCGCTGCAGTATTTCAACTGGGCTGTCATGCAATGCTGTACCCAAACAAAATTTATGTCCTTTTTTCACACAAATACAGCTATCTTTCGGTGATATTTGATCACCTGTGCTCTTTTTATTTTTTACGCTATAAAAAAAAAAAGGCCAAAAATTTTGAAAACTATTTTTTTTTTTTTTTTTTACTCTTCAGCTAGAAAAAAATATTTAGTAAATGCAAAGTTAGTCATAAATTTAGGGCAAAATGTATTTTGCTACATGTTTTTGGTAAAAAAAAAAAAACCCAATAAGTGTTTGATTGCTTTGTGTGAAAGTTATAGCATCTACAATCTATGGTATAGATTAGGGAAGCAACGAAATTTTGGTGGCCGAAATGTTTTGGCCGAAGACACCCCTTTCGGCCGATACGAAAAAAAGCACCAATACAGGTGGTGAAAAAACCTTGCTGCCCGCCGCTCAGTAGTTCTCAGCTTTACCTGAGAAACCATCGAACGATCCTGGCACTGGGCATAGAGATTAGTGAAGGAAAGATGGCCTCCACGCATCTCTATGCCCTTGGAGGACCGGAGCGTCACTTTCGGTTCCAGCCATTTTTATTTATTTATTTTTTTAAGCACTAGATCAATGCTATTTTTTGATCCAGTGCTTTATATTGCAGAGGAGAGATGTGGGGTCACAAATTATTTATATCACAAGGGATGCGTGCATTTCTTGTGATAAGAATAAAAGTGATTAAAATTTTTTTTAAAGGGACAGTGCAAAAAAAAAAAAATAAAAAAAGTTTAAAGTGCCCACATCGGGGGATGGGGGCACTTTAAACTTTTTTTATTGTTTTTTTTTTTTTTTTTAAAGGGACAGTGCAAAAAAAAAAAACCTTTTAAATTTAAAAAACGGTTTAATGTGCCCCTGTTCCCCCGTGCTCGCATGTGGTGGTGAACGCATACGTAGGCCACGCCCACATATGTCAAACCATACACGTGAGGTATCGCCTCGAACGTCCGAGCAAGAGCAATAATTCTCGCACTAGACCTCCTCTGTAACTTTACACTGCTAACCTGTAGAAATTTTTAAAGCATCACCCATGGAGATTCTTTAAGTATTGCAGTTTCACGCCATTCCATGAGCGTGCGCAATTTTAAAGCGTGACATATTGGGTATGTATTTACTCGCCGTAACATCCTCTTTCATATTGTACAAAAAAATTGGGGTATATATTTTTTTGTTTTTGGTAAAGTGTATTTTTTTCTAAAAAATATATATTCATTGTTAAAAACGTCGCCTTTTGGTTTCAGTTTTCGTCCAAGTGCATTTTGAATTTTCGGTTTCAGCAGCAGAATTTTCATTTTGGTGCACCACTAGTATAGATACTGCAATTTACTCAATTTTTTTTTTTTTTTGCTATACAGCTCAGCACTAGTTTAAATGACAATTGCGCGGTCATGCAATACTGTCCATAAATTACAGTAACTTTCTTTTTTTTTTTTTTTTTTTACACAAATAGAGCTTTCTTTTGGTGGTATTCAATCACCTGTGAGCTTTTTATTTTTCAAGCTATAAATAAAAAAAATACAGAAAATTTTCGATATTTTCTCATTTCTGTCATAAAAAAAAATCCAAAAAACTCAAATTGTGTCATAAATTTAGGCCAAAATGTATTCTGCTACATCCCAATAAGTGTATATTGATTGTTTAATATTTAGCATCTACAAACTATTTTATAGATAATGGAATTTACACAGCCCTTACTTTCTGACTGCCTATCACTTTTCTTGAGGTGCTAAAATACCAGGACAGTACAAACACCTCCAAATGACCACTTTTCAGAAAGTAGACACCCTTAAGCTACATGCTGAGAGGCATGTTGAGTCCATGGAAGATTTTTTTTTTTTTTTTTTTCCACAAGTCTTTGGAAAATGACAAAAACATTTTTTTTTTCACTTAAATGATATATTGCTCACACAAGCCATGTGCGTATGTGAAATTACACCCCAAAATACATTCTGCTACTTCTACCGAGTATGGGGATACCACATGTGTGAGAATTTTTGGGAGCCTAGCCACATACAGGATCCTGAAATCCAATGGCCACTTTGAAAGCCTGAAGGTGTGTAACTTCTTCATTTCACTTCCTCACTACCTATCACAGTTTCAGAGGCCCTGAAATGCCAGGATAGTACCCCCCTCCCCAAATGACCCCTTTCTGGAAAGTAGACACCCCAAGGAATTTAAAAAGAGGCATGCTAAGTACTTTGCAGATCTAATTTTTTTCTCAAGGTTTTGAAATCTAAAATAAGAAAAGAAAAAATGTTTGTTTTCTTTCATCATTTTCCAAAAATTGAGGCAACAAACAAGATCTGCAAAATACTCACCATGACTAAACATGTCTCTCAGCAAATAGTTTGGGGTGTCTACTTTCCAAAAAGGGGTAATTTTAGGGGGTGTGGGCATTTTATGCCCAGCATTAGATGTTTATGCCATGCATCACTCACTTTTCTAACCACCTGAAGACCAAGCCTTTTCTGACAGTTTTTGTTCACATGAAAATAATTTGTATTTTTTACTAGGAAATTATTTTGAACCCCCAACCATTATATATTTTTTTAAAGCGGATTCTTTAGTGAATAAAATGGGTGCCGCTTTTTTTTTTTTTTTTTCACATAGTACTCAGTGACTTTTCAAACGCAAATGTTTACAAAAATATTTTTTTACTTTTAAAGCACAATATATTGGCCAATTATTTGGTAAATATAAAAAACGATGGTATACCGAGTAAATAGATGCCAAACATGACATGCTTTAAAAGTTTGCACGCCCCATGCAATGGCGACAAACTGCACACATTTTTATTATCCATAGGCAACGGTTTAAAAGCCTTTACAAGCTACCTTTTTAGATTTACAGAGGAGCTCTAGTGCTAGAATTGCTGCCTTTGATCTGACATTTGCAGCGATACTTCTCATGCATGGTTGGGGGGGGGGGGTTTCGAGGGTGCTTTTAACGTTAAAAAAAAAAAAAAAAAAAAAAAATTTCTTTTTAAATTCTGTTTACACTCTCCCTTTTTAATTTTTTTTTTTTTTAACGCTTTTAATGCTATCACAGGGAATGCAAATATCCCCTATAACTTCAATTGGCATTGTCATATATTCTTTTTTGAGAAATCTGGGGTCTATCAGACTCTAGATATCTCCTCTGCCCTTACATTATCTAATCTCACCAAGATCGATGTGATCAAATGCTTTCCCAATTTACAGATGGCGCTGTTTATATCATACAAAACTGAAGTAATGAAATGCTCGTAGCTTCTGATTTCTTAGACTATAGAGATGATTGGCACCATTCTGGTCTCCAATCAGCTCTATGGTCAGCTGGCAGAAACACTGGCTGCATTCTCAGGTTCCCCTGATGGCATGTGACTGCCCGAGAAGGCAGCGGGGGAGGGGGGCATCTTCTCCCGCTGCTTGTAAAAGCTAGCTGAAAAAACGATACCAGAATGATGCCTGCAGCTGTAGGCATCATCCTGGTATAACCACTCAGTCCAGTGATATACCAGTACGTCGCTGGTCCTTGTTGGAAGTATATGCTATGTGTTTTTATTTTTTTTTTTTTATGCAGCCTGCCAGAAAAAGTGTGTGGTATGCCCACCATTAGAATATATCTCCCTGTATGCACCCACCTCAAATGGTGGGCACACATGAAATGTGCCAAAAAATATAAAATATATATGCCAAAGTATAGAGGCCATCCTCCCACTGGCCACCCCAGGCCCCCATGCTTCAGCATATATGCTCTTTTTTTTTTTTTTTTTTTTTTTTTTAACTGCGGATGAAAAATCTCATCCAACAGCACTGCCCACACTGATAACCTATGTATGTTCTGAGAGCAAGACCCTGTTGCTGTCAGGATAAACAGGTTGGTGCTGCAGCCGAACGACATTCCTGCAAAGAAAACAGCAATGGTTAACAAAACAGTAACATTATAACCGTAAAATCGTAACAGTAGAACAGTAACAATGACAATAACAAAAAACTATTTTTAGTTTTTTTTAAAATGTATTTATTTTTTGCCTTTTTTGTTTTACTTTTTTTTTTCTTTAACTTTTTTAAAACTGATTGTAGGGTCTCTCAAAAAGCGATAGCCAGTTTCCTGACTACCTAACATCTTTCAAGACCCTGTGTAAATATGTGCACTGAACTGTGCCGTGCTGTGCCCTATACTAATACTCCACTAGTGTATGGTAATGACGGAAGCAGTCCTTGAGGCAGAAACAAGGTTGGTCAAGACGGGGGACAAAAAAAGTGGGTGTCGCGTCTTATTCCGTGTCTGCTACAGACATAACATCTTCTTTGGGATAACCTTTTTGGGTTGGGGTACCAGAGAGGACATCTGGAAAATGCCTTTCATTCAGCCAGCTAACTGCATCTAGATTTGAGGATTGGGCCACAGCACCTTCTGGATACAAAAGGGCCGTGATGATCTCTTCCTG